CCCCAAAACCCCAAAACCCCAAAACCCCGTTCATGGCTAATAAAATTGAGATAAATAATTTTGATGCAAATTTTAGCACTGATCCTTAATAAATGGGTGATGCAAGGCTTCACTTGGAGTCAGCCTTTTCCTAGGATCACATCTTAGGCATTTCTCAAGAAAATCTGCAAACTTCTTTAGCAACTCTGGGTCATCACCCTTTGATCTCTTCTTGGTGAGGATATCTGCTAAAGATTTAGTAGGACTTGGATGAACTGGAGTCGGCTTAAAGATAATCTATAAATTTAGAAGCTTGAAATTTACCTGTTTGGTATGAGGATCAAGATCTCTGACAAGCAATCTTGACTGACTGTCAAAATGTTTCGAAGTATATTCACCTTTCTTCAACATTTTTGTACTTATTCTACCTTTTATCTCCATAATAAGTCTTAGCATCTCTGTGTTGGAATCTCCTGGAAACATCACATCTCCTGTGTAAATTTCATAAAGAGAGACTCCTGCTGCCCAAACATCTATTTGAGTGTCATAATTACACCCAATTATGACTTCTGGGGCTCTATAAAATCCTGATGCTAAGTACTCGGTTATGGTTCTTTCATCAACACTAAATGCGGTACCAAAATCACAGAGCTTAATCTTTGAAAGGTCTTCCTGGACTAGGATATTATCTGGCTTAAGATCTGCATGAATAATTCTTTTCCTTCTCAAGAAATCAAGGGCAATCAAAAGTTGGGTGGCGTACATCTTTACCCCCTGGAGTGAGAGACCTATGCTTTTACCGTATTTCTTGAGGATTTCCCTTAGATTGAGATGCATGTGCTCAAATACAATGCAAAGATGTTTTCTATAATAAAAATGATCAATCATTCTGATAATGTAACGATTTTTACAAGCGTCACCTTCATTTAAGTCCTTTAGAATATCTTTTTCTTTGTTACCGGAGAGAACCATAATGTCTCTGAGTCTGATGATCTTTATACCGACCAGTTTGTGTTCATCATCCTCTTTGGAGTTAACGTCTTCAGCTTTAACGACTACTGAAAACACTCCTTTACCAGCAATAGAGGCTATTTTATATTGCTTTCCTGTCGACGAGGCTAAAACTGGTGAGAAAATAGAATTACCTGTGATTATTTCACCTATTCTTGGCTGGTAATATCCATCGGCATCAACATTGATATCATCAGACTGGATCTTAATTCCTTGGTCAACTGCTTTGTTGATGATATTTTGATTATCCTCACCATCTGAATCGAAGTTGAACATATCAAAACTTTCTCCACTAGCTTCACTCTTGTTCTCTTCTTTTTCCTCTTGAGGCTGAGCTGCTTTTTCTGTAGATTTTTCAAGATTGAGTCTTTCTTGTTGAAGCATTTTGAGTAGTTTTACATTCTCTTCATCCATTTTCTTCAGTTCTTCATCCTTTTCACTGTTAGCAGATAAGTCATCCTTTTGCTCTTCATCTGGATTCGTTTGGCTTGGTTCTAAATATTGACCAGCTTGTGAATCTTGGGGTTCTTTGCCAACTGTCTTGTTATGCTTGGACATAATCTCTTTGATCCTACGTTCCCTTTCTTCTTGCTCTCTTTTCAGACGCTCCTCTTCGTCTTCCATGTTGATGAAAACATTATCTTCGGTGATCGATGGTTCCTTCTTTACTGAAGTATCTTCTTTTGGATCTAACTTAGTCTCTTTTGCTAAAATAAAAATGTTAAGGGTTCATGATAATCCTCTACTGAAAAAGCTGATGAAGAAAGTCTAACTGAAGCATTACTTACTATCTAAATTCTTGGAAGAAGGGATTTCATCTCTGGTTGAATATCTATCCTTGTACCTATCTCTCCTCTCTGAACTTCTTCTTTTATCCCTTTCCTTTCGATCTCTTTTCCTGTGCTTAGATCGACGAGAATGAGATCTATAAGAACCGTTGGATGAATTATCAGAATGTGAAGTTTTACGTTTCTTTCTGCTATCTCTATGTCTCCGTGACCTATCTCTCCTACTGGAGGTGTACCTATCCCTAGACCTATCTCTTCCCCTGCTTCTGCTCCGTTTCCACCTTGGTCGCTTAGACTTCCTCCTATTCGTTGTACTATCTCTAGTTTCTACTTTAATCTCCCCTTCTTCTTCGTCTTTCTTCTTGTCAAGGTTGCTCATTAGCGCTGAAGGATTTTTAAATTTGTAATTATTTAAGTCAATTTTTTGACTTGTTGGGGTTTTGGGGTTTTGGGGTTTTGGGGTTTTGGGGTTTTGGGG